GTGCTGGAGTGCTGGAGTTTGTGAGCATGTATCTCTCTGATTAAATGTTTTGTATGCTAAATAATGGCCATGCAACTACTTTCTACCTTTTGCCGTTGGCTAATTAAAAAAAAATAGACACAAAAACAATCCCAGGCTGCCTCTCAGTCCAGCCCTCGGAGGGTAAGTGTATAATAGCTGGCATTTGGCAGAACATCGGGAGTAGCTGTGTTCGGGTGGAATTGTGTTTTCTACAGCGTCGGCCTGGCATGGCGGGGCATTTTCCCCATGGACAGCTTGAGTGGACTGGACAACACGTTGCAGAGGCAGTTACTGTGGATAATAACCACATATTTCTATAATAACTTGAGATAATTAGTAATCCGAGAAGCTGTGAATTCGTGCCATGTATGTCATCCTACCGTAGATCAGCCTCACTGAACCCAGCTCTCTGGGTTTGAGGTGACCTCATTTTGTCCCCTGATATTGACAGATGTTGAAGAACAGTGAACTGTTTTCTGTTCGGCTGTCGAACAATGCACGTCCCAGTGTAGCGGCTTCTCGTAGAGCGACATAATAATCAAGAGATCCTTCTCAATCCATAAAAACAATCTCTTGCCTGCTGTACATGCACACTTGATTGCATGAAAGGAAACTGATTATGTTCTCAGTCCTGGCATTAACTCGTGCTGCAAATCAAGCACTTCCTAAACTAACAGCCGACCACCAGTGGGCTGCTGAGATGTTTTGGCTTCACTTTTGGGGAGCTGTCATGCTGCTACGCGGGCGACCTAAACCTGTAATGCCCGACAGCATCGTCGGCGACACGGACGTCCCCGGGGTCCACCGGTAGAAATATATATTTGTATGTATATGTAGGTTATTACTACTGACATTTCTGTAATGTTATGTTGCAGCGTCCGCTGTATTAGCCACGTGTTTACTACGTGTCTATTTGCATAGAGAGCGGGGAAGTGAAGCCGGATCACAAGTGGTCTCTGGAGAAGCATGTGCAGATGCACTTGTAATTCCAGGTGCGAAGAGACGCACTGAGAGATGTCCACTTGTGATCGGATCGCTCAAGTGGCATGTTAATGCCGACTCTGAAAAGAGCCAATCTTCAGAAAGATTTGTGCATCACAAACACTCCACTTTAGACGCACAATTTTGCCTTCAAATGAGATTGGTTGACATGTTAAATATTCCCGTCCTACAAGCATTCTGGAGAAGCATGTTCCAGCCTTAAATCAGCCATTCTTCACGATGACAGCCTTCCTAGGACTCGCTGGTGGAAAACTTTTAACCCAAAGCCACAGCTATATTATATATACATACATACATACATACACACCGATCCTATTTCTTCCGGTTAAGCTTAGTTCTTGTGGTCCAACAAGCTGTTTGATGAATAATCCCTCTTGAAGGAGAAAATACCGTTTTAATGCAGGCCATGTAGCAGATAGCTTACTGCTTGGGATTGTTATGGAGGTAATAAACCTTTCAACATAATCTTTGTGTGGTTTAAGCGCTTAATCTTTTCAAACAGGCATGCAATGAATTGAAGGACTCGGCCATGCGTCCTGATATTTGTCAGCGGGTCCTGGTATTCAAAGCAGTCGTCCTCTTCCAGTGATGCTTTTGTTTTGACTTTTTTTTAATGCCGCTCTCTCTCCCCAACAATGAATGATGGCACTTATCCCAGGTATGCACGCTGGCCTTGCCTGAAGTGATTGCACGCATCTTCGGGCAAGCCCCTTTTCCATTGAGAGACATAGTTTCCATTTGCTGTAATGCCAGAATAATGGCATCACACCTGGTGCTCCACCCTCATTTGCTTGCACTTCCAAACGCATGCACACCTGCACAGATATACACATGCACACACACACACTAAAGAAGGAACTCAGCCAAAACACATAAATTCCTCTGAATAGTGTTCGGTACGTCTACAGTTTTCGAGGGAATTGCCTCCCGGCAGCTTGTTTTCACTCCCAACATGCCTGCTGCTGCCTTCACTACCTACAGCTTTTACCCTTTCACCCTCTCCTTACAGCCAAGTGGAAACTTTCAAGCACCTTATATTGGGTGTTCTACCAGTACTGCATATACTTTTGAACTCCTTCTACCTTATCCTGTTTCTGTTTTAAAGGAAACGACATGCCCTGTGTTGTGTAGTGCTGCCATCTTGATCCACAAAACAACCGCCAGAGCAATGCCTGCTGTCAAAAGATTCATGGTGTTAAGCTCAGCAGCTGTGATTACGGACGGGGGTCAAAGTGGGCCGGGGCTGTCTGGAGCTCAGTGCCGGGCACATAGGAGAAGACGTTTTGACTCATATGTCGCATAATGGGCTAACCTTTTAAGGTGGACCCACATGTTTCAAAAGGAAACCATAACTTCTTGTACCGTATATCTACTGGTAACTTTGTTTTTTCGAGAAGTCAAAAAAAGACAGAAACATCTTAATATTACAAATATCAAAAGAAACCTCCGAGTTGTGCTCCGGATCTCTTTTGGTGAGCCCTAATAACAAGTTCTCCTCTATGTGCCTTACAATTATGCGTTGCATGTTTCATCTTCATCCTTCAGATCCATCAAGGCCTCGTCCTCTCACCCCGATGGAGAATGGGTTGATGAATCAGCTCCGTCCTATAAATGGCAAATTCTGTGGTCTTGGTCAACGCGAGTCCTTGTAGTTAAGTTCAGCTCTGTGGGGTACGCGGGTTTACTGGAGAGCAGGACCTACTGATGCCTGTGCAAGTAGACGATATCCCTTTCCTGGATATCGCCTACTGGCACAGTATGTGTTTTTCTTGGTTTTATCTGCACGAGTGCAGTGCCCATTTTAAAACATGCCTGTTCAGAACGGGTCGAATGCCTGGTCTGTGGCATTGCTGCTCGCTCATACAAACATCTTCACACTCAACACTGCGCTTCCTCGGGTCCTCAGCTGGCGGTAACCTCCGGGTCTGAAAAGTGAAGCCAATGCAGAAGTGCGTTTCTTTCAAACGGGCAATAGGGGGGCGTTCCTCCGATTGCAAAAAGAAGTCCGATTGTCTATGAGGAAATGACCCTACATTTCACTGGATTTATTACCTCAGTAAACAAGAGTTCATGGTCTCAGTCACTAGTTTCAAGTCGTCTTCAGTACAGCTATAGATTTCTTTTATTTCAGGGAAAACATTGTAGTACTGCATTCCCCTGACAGAGAAACATTACTGGTAACGATGGCAGAGTGGTGCTGTTCCTGTGTAGGCCAGTAGCTAAAGTGAACTGCAGTCAATAGATGCTGTCCGCCCGCTGCGTACGACATGCTGGACTCAGTCTGCAGAGCCACGGAGCTTTGTGTGCTTGTTTATTCAAATTTCATCAATATTGAACTTGTCACGTGTCCAAGTTGCACCAGATTGGACAAAGCACTACATGGAGTCCCCAACAGACAGACAGACGGACAGGAATCATCCTCTGTAATGTCTGAGTTAATGATGATTTATTAATGATTTATTTTAATGTGTCAAAAACAACTTTTAGGCTGACTAAATTACCAGTAATTTATCCATTACTATAAAACTAGTAAAGGAGGAAATGCATCTTGTTTTTCATATTTCCCAAACTGTTTGATATCTAACATTTGTCTATTTCTGAACCATGATGACATGAGTGAGTATGAACACAGCGGCTGTTTAGTGGATAAATGTTTGGTTGTAGAGCACGCCCAGCAACCCCAAAAAAAAAAACCAACCACGTTTAATAGTTACTGCCCAGAGCATTACCCCAGAAGAAGTGATCATTATGTGATATCCACCAGCTGGTGTCCTAGTATTGAGTGTATATGTCATGGTCTCCATGGTGACTCTGGTTTATTCGTTTAGACACGCACACACATGTCACACAGATGGACACAATTGTGGAAGCAGCCAGGCATATTGTCTTGGACAGATTAAGACTGAATCCGTTTAATGCTGTTAAATTAAAACAAGAGCGTTTGTGTTTGACTGTGAAGGGAATACTGTGAGAGCGCTGGTGACATCATCTGTGAAAAACAGGCAACAAGCAACACTGTGTTTCAAAAGCTGAAAGTACAAATGAGTTTTTATTTTCTGTGCCTCATTTAGAGAGAAAGTGTTCCTGTGGCACCTGAAGGTCATCTTTCCTCAGAGCAGCACAGAGTTCAGTCAGAGGAGGTGAGTTACACAACAATATTCAGTTTCTTGAATATTATCCCCATCAAAGAGCAAATTATCAGCTCAGTTTCAACGCTCAGAGGGAGCTGTTGCTGCTGGAGGGAGCATTTCGGTGTGGGTGCACTGTCTGCATGTGGCTGTCCAGGATTGTAAAAGCTGCAGACAGATATTCTCCATTATAACTTGATTTGGATGTTAACAATAGAATCTTTTCTCTCTCATTTACTTTTGTCTTTCTTGTTTTAGGGTGTCCGACAGGCAGACCCTGGAGCAGATCTTGACCCCTTACATCCACCCTACAGAGTCGGACCCTGTGACACGCCAAAAGTGAGCCTCTTCAAATTATGTGATATTTTTGTTCTGATTATTTGCACGGCACACGGATCCATCTTCTTACCCGATACAGATGATACCCCCCGATACCCAAACTCAGGGCTTTAGCAGAGTACCAAGAATGTAAAATCTGTAAACCTCCCTGTGAGGCTGCAACTACGGGTCACTTCTTAACTATAAGTGGAGATGTTTATTCACCTACATACTTTATAGGCTTTTAATTAAAAGCATTATTGATATTAAGCCCATCGAAGGCCGGTTTTCAGCTGATAGGTGAGTAGTTTTATAGTGCACAAAGCCCGGGTCCCTCTTGCTGTGGTGTGGTAGTGGCTATGAGAGTGAGAGTGACGGCCAGCGGAAAGAAGCTGTTCCTGTGTCTGGTGGTACAGTGCTAGTGTCCAGGGTGTGAAGGGTCTGCAGTGATCTTTCCAGCCCGTTTCCTAACTCTGGAGGTGAACAAGTCCGGGATGGAGGGCAGGCTGGAACCAATGAACCTCTCTGCAGACCTGACAATCCGTTGTATTCTGTTCCTGTCCTGTTTGGTGGCCGATCCAAACCGCTCAGTGATGCAAGAGCAGAGAACAGACTGGATGATGGTGGAGTAGAACAGGATCAGCAGGTGGAACTTCCTGAGCTGGCGCAGAAAGTTCAACCTCTGCTGGGCCTTTTTCCTGATGGTGTTGATGTTGGAGGCCCACTTCAGGTCCTGTAAATAAATATAAATGTGACTAAATGTAGTTTTTGGCGAGAAACCTGAATAAACAGTTGTTTGAAGGAGATCTTTTCACTGCAATATAAAATAGATATTAGAGAGGGATCCATGCTCTGTTTAACTTCCTAACAGGAGCTCTAAGCAGCTTATAACACATCATTAAAACTACTAATGCCAATCTTTTTCTTTTTAATAAAAGAAAATATTTAAATCAAATACAATCATTTTTTCCTAATAATTTGAAATGTGTGTTTTATGCTAACAACCACTGTAGATGACTATAACAAAGTAGAAGAATAACATTTAGAATTTGACAGTTTACACTGACTTCGGGGCGGTTTATATTATTTTTGGGCACAGCGGTGAAAGAAGGGAAGGCCTTGCAGTCGATTATAGTTCTTTGAAAGAAATTTGAATTGTCAGATCAGGCTTTTAGAAAAATGTAAATCAAAATCAGCCATGACAATTTCAATCGCCGCATCTCTAGTAAATTCATCATGCGTCATTAAAAGATAGCACCATCATGTTCTTATATAATACATGCATACGGCAGAGTCTGGCCAAGCAGCTCATTCACATGGATGAATAGTGCTCGGTTAGAGCGCTGGGGCTTTGCTACAGGAATGGACGTGTGCAGCTGAAGTGAAAGAAAGATCATATCAAGTCCATTATATAACGTGTTCAGCATGTAAAAACTTATATTGAGTTAATTATCGCCATGAACTACAGTTCCTGCTGAATCCTGCGCAAAGCCAGAAACCTCAGCATAGTGTGATCCGTTCAGTCACAGAACCTCAGTAACTGGGCTCATGGATAGAAGTAGGAAACTTCACAATGTGATAATAGACCCAGAAGTCAACACCCCTTTGAAATATTGTTTGGAGGACTTCTGCATTCAATAGTAATGACTGCTGCTCCGCCCATTGTTTTCTCCTAAAAAAGTTCAAACGATCCGTTTTGCTCTTGGCAGCGACTGCGGAGCTGTGTTTAGTTACTAATGTTCATAACAACTTAGGAATGAGACTGGGGGAAGCGAAGCTAATTGAATCGCTCACAATAATTGCATATATCTACGCTATTGCAGCATAGTATGAAAACACACAACCCCGAAACCAGTGTGACGCAGTTCCATGTAATGCATCGTATTGTCTTGGGATGAATACACAGCATATATGAGCTTTTTGTATTCCATTCCATTATCCAAACCGCTTATCCTATTCAAGGTCGCCAGTTTATCGCAGGGCACATATAGAGACATTCACACCTACGGGCAATTTCGAGTCTCCAAATAACCTAAGCTGCATGTCTTTGGACTGTGGGAGGAAGCCGGAGGGAACCCACAGGAGAACGTGCAAACTCCACACAGAAGGACCACCCGGGATCGGGGATCGATCCGGGTACCTCAGTGCTAGCCACTACACCACCGTAGAGCCCTATACAAGAAGCAACTTTCAAATATGTTTTCCATTCAAATCTAACTTTACCCCCAGGTCTGAGCCGAAATCTATCCACGGCATCATTTTGAGGAAATGCAATATTAACACCAGCATTGATGTGTTTCATCACAGCCCTCACAGCCATCACAGCACTATCATTTAGTTTACGCCTCAAAAAAACATGTATCAATAAATGTACCACTCTGCTGATCTGTGCCACCACACTTTGTCTCATTGGGCTCAAGTTGAATGTGAATGTTTCCCATAGAGCAGATGAATAGGCTGCTTTTAATAGCTTCCATTTATCTTAATGTAACAAAGGGGAAATTTAAGTTTGTGAATTTATAAAAAAGGTAATTTTATGTCCTGATCTTCAATATCAACCAACTCAATCCAATTTCAGTCACACAGGATTCATTTGGTGAATCTCACTGTACTGCAATTATCTTTGTAATTATGCTCTTGCTTCACTTTCTTTTTAAATTCCAAGGCTCATGTTTCTCGCAACATGAACGGCCGTCTTTGAACAAGGCCCGGCTCTTTGATTGGAGAACATTCAGTATTTCTAAAATGAACCTCGAACAGATCAGCAATCTGACTCCTCTGACCTACTGATAACATTCAGCAGTAAACAGTCTACTGTATAACCTCCAGCCAGAGCATATTGCTCTCCAGAGAAACTTTTAAAAATAGACGTCTTACTTTGGTCCAGTGCCAACCATTTAGACGCAAACCTGTGCTTACTCTAGATTTGAGTGAGTGGGGTTTAACTCTGCACGGCTCATTGGCCGGCTGTTAACAGCGGGCTCGGGTGCCGTGGGCCGTCGGTCGCATCAAGGATTGTTCCTCACGCGAGAAAGCCTCAGCCAGAAGCCATTCATATATCCGTCAGCATACCAAGACAAATGTACACGTGGGTCTCGCCTGTGCTGCAGTCAATGAGCTCTTTGATGATGACCAGCTTAAGAAACACCGACCCTGCTCCCGTGTTTTTAATTCTCTTAGGCTGCAGTCCAGACTCTAACCTCCCGCGTTGATCTGAACTTGTGTTTCAGGTTGAAGATGTATGTGCGCACTCCGTTTGATCACCTGAAGGTCTTCATGAAAGCAGAGGGGAGAAAGGCTAACTCTGTCAGGTGAGGTTTTCTGACATACAGTACACACGCTGACGCTGTTCAATCTCTGCTGCAATGAGCTACCACTGGTGACACACACAGTAGTAAAACAGACACGTGTACAATTTAAATATAAGATACAGGGTTCATATTCATTTCAGATATGTGGATGCCTTTTGAGAATAAAATGAAACTTGTGTCAGCATTCGGTCCATGTGAGCGTTCTATTGGACTTGCCATTCATGACTGTTTTACTCAGCGGGTATCTCATCGGAATAATTAGTTTAGGAACATGACATCACGGACTTGTAAATTCCTGCAGAGCCTTTTGGCAGGAAGGCCTTAAGAGGGCCTTTTCCTCCCCTTTTGACTTTGATGCCAACATTGAGAAATGCCATTGATCAGGAAAATACTTTTTACAACTTATGTCTACATCTTCTGTCCCTTCACTCTCTCTCTCTCTCTCTGACTCATTTTCTGTTTCCACAGTTTCTGTCCGATTGCGCTCTTTCTTCCTGTCCCCGGGGGGGTTGATGGCACCCATTTGCTTCACCCACTTTTGCATTCTTTGGCTGTCCTCCATTCCCACTTAGTCATGGAGTGAATGATGATCGTCGGCGCTCATCGTCATTGCCCCCGTCATGAAACCTCCCCATCCTTCATCCCTATAACACACACACACACACACACACACGCTCCTTTGGTTTCTGGGCGTCACACACTTTCTAAGCAGTAGATTATGTTTTGTGTCAGCTAATGGAGAGGAATTATTGATGGACGAGTGTAGAGATGTGGCATGCGAGCAAAGATGTGGCATGGGCTGTCAAGCTGCCACCTTTTAACAGTCATGAATGTAATGAAAGTTTGAGTAGTTTATATGTGTCATTGTCTCTCAACCACCATCAGCTTAAGCCGATGGCATTTTACACCGCATACATTAGTCAACTGGCTAGCGGACTGTTCCTTCAACATGTAGCTCGTCTACTCGTACTGAGTTAAAGTCGCTGCATTTACCGACGGAACACCACAGTTAAATTTCAGCCTGCTTGTACTTTTGTTGAAACAGAGCAGTTAATACTAACTTGACTGTAGATGACAGCTGAATGTATTTACCCAGATCAGAGGCAAATGAACTGTTACTAGACGCGGTCGGCATCGCTGGCATATTGTAGATGTCTAACATGCTAAATATCTGGATCTGTCTGGGAGCTACAGCCAATGAGAGCACAGCTAACCTGTGTGTGTGTGTGTGTGTGTGTGTGTGTGTGTGTGTGTGTGTGTGTGTGTTGCATTTGCAACATGGACTAAAGTTGTTGTTGCACCTGTTTGCATGAATCAACGTAACGCGTAACACAGCGACCGCTCTACTAAAGGGGAATGGTAACGACGTGTGGGGGGAAAAAAGTTTATTATGTCGACATTCCAACGACAACATCCACAAGCATGACTACGTGATTGTCACTGCACCTCATCGGAAATTCCTCCGGGCGAAAGATCTTCTTGTTGTGTGTGTGACCCCCAGCATCGACTATCATGCTTCCATATAAAAGCATGTGTCATGCGCTGTGTAAGCGCAAACATTTCCTGAGAAAACCATAATAATTGAGTCATAACTGTTGTTGTCAGCACTTCCCGGCAACATATTTCATGAATTACTTCTAACGTCAATTAGTCTGATACAATCAAAGTCGTAAATTAGGCTTTGGAGAAAGCCTGTCTTGACTGTGTCCTGTCAAGTCAGCGATAATGAGTAATTCAGTGGCATAACTTTCTCTCTCTATCCTTCGCCTGTCATACCTTAATAGCTAGAGTACGGGTTGATGTAATGAAGGACTTTTAAGTCAGGAATTATTTTTATTATATTCTTAAGTATTGCCACCGCAAAGGGGCCTTCACATTTGTTTTGAATAATGCAGTCTTAAAAGAAAGCCCCTCATTTTGAGACGCGTTGTTACTGTTCTGAGGTCATGGACAGTGGTCATCATGGTGAACACAAAGGGCACGGCTGCTTGTTTATGTTGTTGAACGTCTACTGGAATATCAAGCCACTCCAATAAAGGAGCTCTTGTGCTAAAATAAACATAGCTGTGTAACCGGTCAACATTCTCTTACTGGAAAGCATCAAGAGAACCATTCACACCCTTCTGGATGTTTGTTTGTGTTATTTTTTATATATATTTTTTTCAGCCCACTCCTTGCATCCAGAGGATGCCCTTTCCTCCCATCCCTTACCGCTTCTTTTCCTCTCAGCCACTCTGTTGACATGCCAGAAGTAGGTGTGTGTGTGTGTGTGTGTGTGTGTGTGTGTGTGTGTGTGTGTGTGTGTGTGTGTGTGTAGGCTGGTGCGACTGCATTTGTATGTATGGAAGTTTACATTATTCAGGTTCCACTGTGCCCTCAAGGGGAAATACGTATTATTTGCATCTGCGATAGTGTGACTGCTAAAATGTTGAGTGTAAATGTGTGCTATTAGTGTATGTGCGTCTGAGCTCAGATCAGTGTGTGTTGCTGCCAGCAGC